TGTCTGCTCTTGAAAGGTCAGGGCTTTGGACTCCCAGCTTCCCCACACCGCGTCAGGGTGTGAAGAAAGCAGTTTATAACATGTATAGATGTGCTGTATGACACATTTGTGAAAGTATTCAGAGTAAGGACCAACTCTGTGTGTTGGCTGTCCTTGCTGTATGTAATTCTCAAAAATAGTTCATTATTTTTTCTGTTCTTTTCAAACATGTTTTCCTCCTTCTCGTTTCCCCAGAGAAAAAAATAAGGCACCCAGAATAAAAAAAAATATGATCAAAGTGTAACAGCTTCCACACTGATGATTAGAGAACAACATAAAAGATAAATGTGATGATCCGTTTGCTTTGACAGCCTTAACGAATCAAACTTCACACTGTTGATATAGATACAGCAGACGGTTTTCAATTAAATGTCAGATATGATCAAATTTCCATATTTCAATAACATTTCAGTAAATTGTTAATGTCATACCATACCAAAAACCTTTTTTCCAGCAGGGAATAAATATTTCTATAAAACTAACACAAAATATAACAAATATACAATTTTAAAGCAATATGTAAATAATTTGTGAGAACCTGGTGTGAATGAAAAATGTTTATGATTTGGTGTTTAAGACATGTTAAATTTGATTGTTTTATGTAAAGTATACCACAGTAAGTTTTTTTTCTTTTAGCTATTTTCAAAAACAATCCAAGAACTATTATTTAACCTTAACTTCAAACCCGAATAAAATGTTTAAAAAATGTGTCCTGGAACAAAAATGGAACAAATATTCCTACTGGAAACAAAACTTGTTTATCACCTTACTTCTTTCACAAAAAATTAACAGTCAATGCACAAAACAAGAAAAAGAGTCAACTGTGAAGATAAATTCACATCTTAGCTGATCAAAGCAAAGCTTTAAAATCTGTCATTGTTGTTACATTGTTTGAATGTTGGGTAATTTAATTTGGTTTGGTGTTCAAAAGCCAAGTGTGTGGGAGTGGCATCATTGCATATTATTCATTACACTGATCCAGGTGTGAACTGGCACGTAGCTATTTGGTAACATTGACTGACTGGTGCCTGATTTAATTGTGCAGAAACCTCACTGTATTATTCATGACCTTGCACTTTTAACTTGGTAATTACCAGCTACTGAGACTCAGTGGGACTCCAGTGGTTGTGTCAAAAACAGCTAGCTCTGTTAATTCACTAACACAAATCAAATATATTTATTCATCTATTGAGTGTGTTCCCCTGTGTTGAATCCAAGGAGGTGTTATATTATACAGGCATTTTAAAAGTGAATTTCTGAATTTGTGTGACTTTAAGAGAGCTATATGCCCACAAATGACGAAGGTCCTACTTCCCAAGGACTAACTCATCGATTCTAACGTGAACTTTCCATTATAAATGGCTCCTCACAGTTGCTTTACTTAGATTAGGTGGAATGAAAGCCAGTGAAGCATATATTTCATACGTAGGACATTTAACAAAAGGTGGCTCGTGGTGTGGTGGTTAGCACTGTTGCCTCACAGCAAGAGGGTTTCCAGTTTGAGTCCAGTGGGACCGGGACCTTTCTGTGCTGAGTGTGCACGGGTACTCCAGCTTCCAGCTCCTGCAATCCCAAAACTGGTTTGCCTCAGGAGTGAGTGAGAGTGCGTGTGATTGTTTGTATCTTTGTGGCCCCAGCCTCTCGCTTTTTATCGGCTGGGAAAGGCTCCTCCCCGCGAGCCCGGAGGGAATAAGTGGAATAGAATAGGGATGGATGGACATTCAACACCATCATATTTCTATTGTGTAGTTCTTTCTCACTGACTGAAGTACAAAATGAATCATTCATAAAAAAGACATATCATATTGATTATTAAAAATATTCTAACTTCAATACATAATTCAGCAATAGACACATTTTTCCATAACTTTTCTAAAATTAGATCTTAAATCACAAAAAGTGGGGCTGTAACATTTGGGTATGGGTATGAATATTGATATGTCAATGTTTGTAACAGTATTGCTAGAATGATCAGAACAATACAGGTAAGTCGTTTGTTCACCTATTCATCGCTGTAAAAAACATATTCATATTATCCATACTGCAGTCCCAATGTCTCCATATGCGGACATCGCATTTCTGCCTGTGTTTACCATGATACTTAATTTCTTTTTGAACTGTGATGTCTTGGCCTCATAGTAAACGCTAATGTTTGAAATCTAAAATAAAATGGTTCCATACATTTCCAAACAATCATGTGCTTAGTGTGTAATTAAAATGTTGTAATCAAGTAGTTTGTATTGTCAATTCTCCAAATTGCAGAGACATGTTTTAGATACATAAATATACATTCCATATCCAAATATAAACCCACTGTCTCTGTATTAAGGAAAACTTCGACTAATCCCAGAGGAAGCTAAAAATTGTTGTTGGGTCATCACAATAATGGCTTTATATCTATCCATTTTCTGTACCGTTTATTCCCAGATGGGGTCCTGGGGGGACTATAGCCTATCCCACTATGCGTGAGAGGCGGGGTCACCCTGGACAGTCTGCCAGTCCATCGCAGGAGCACAGAGACACACAAACACTCACATTCACTCCTGAGGGCAATTCGGATTAGCCAGTCAACCTAACATGCAGGTTTTTGGACGGTGGGAATAATCCAGAGTACCTGGAGCAAACCCACGCAGACACTGGGGGAACGTGCAAACTCCACACAGAAAGGATCTGGTTCCCCGAGGGACTCCAACCCAGAATCCTCTTGCCGTGCTAACCACCACACCCCCCACACCCCCCATGGCTTTACATATTTATCCTAATTTACACATTTTTATGCTATCAAAACATTGAACCCCCACAGAACAACCCGAACTTTCATCCATTTTGGAAGGATAGAAATAATTGTGGTTGTAATGTCAATAACAAATACAACAGTTATTAGGGATTGGGAAATATGAATTAAGTTGCAGAATGCTACAATAAAATGTCCAATCCACCTGCTTTAAAACCAAGTTGGTTTGTAATCCAGTTATATGTTGAGATGGTTCCATTGTGTTAGATTTTTTAGTCAACATAAAACAACCCATAACTCCAGGGTTTGTTCAAATGTTTTGTTAAAACAGATATTTGATATTATCTAAATACTGGAAGATCAATAAAGCCTCAATAAATCAATATGCCTGTGAGCTATAAGAGAAACATTGGGCAAGTAAAATTTGTAAGTAAAACTGTCAGATTGTTCAGGCAATCCAAATAGTTAGATCAGAGGGCTGGGACTGACATGCCTGTTAATGGATTTTGAAATGCCCTCATAAAAAGAAGACCAGCATACCCTTAGACAGGACAGAACAGCAGTACGAGGATTTGCCGTGCCAGGCAACCATTTTCTTTTTTGCTTAAAGAGTTATATACAATTAATGCAACTCAGGAAGGGTTAGGTTTCGGGTTAGGCAGGGTCCCAGATGATTTCTTAAGCACAAACAACCCCTGCAGCACTTTAGTCCAAACAGTAAGATACATTGCATTGGTGGTGCAGTTTGCACCACTAAACCAATCTAACCATTCTGATGCCATAACCGGAAATCACCTGTTCAAACACTTTTACACATCAAGCTACATTCAGTTCCTCATTCAGTGGCTACACAATGCCTTTTTGCAAAGGGAAGCCTTGTCACATGGTCAGTGGAAAATATCTGCTTGTCCTACTGTGCTGCCCTGTCAGTGACAGTAGGCCCCTGTTCTGTAACTTATAGTGAAGGCATTTCAAAACTGGTGCATTCCCTTTTCTTAAAACTAAAAGACAAAATGTCTTGATAGCTCCATCCAAAAGTTCTCCTGCAACCATATACATGGAAAAAAGCAAGGGAGCCACTGGATAAGTTGCCGGTCCTTAATTTAGTCAAAACTGAAGCAGTCTTGCCAACCCACATTCTCAACTAAGTTCTGCTTAAAATCAACATTTATTAAGCTTGCAGTATGGGGATGGGACTTTTTCTTTATGAGAACACATCAGGTCTATTCTTAAACACATATATTTAGTATTCACAGAATCCACTGAATCTGATAGACAAAGAAAGAGCAAGATCAACAAATTCTGGAAAAAACACAAAGCTGGAATGGCTTGTTAACTAAAGATCATGGATATGGACAAATGTCCATGCTGAGATCTGACAGATTCCAAAAACTTTTATTGTGAACCAGCAAAACAAGATACACTTCTTGTGGGAAAACTATTCTCACAAGTTCTGTCCTACCTTATCTTTTATATACATACACACATATATATCTGTGTGTATGTCAATGTTTCCACCACATTAAGTTGTCAGTTCTACAGGAGAGGAAGAGTTATGACAATTAAAACAAATCGAAAGAAAGGGGAGAAAACAACATACCACTTCATCCAGCCAGACGAAAGCAGGGTCATGGTTTACAAGGAGTCAGGTTAAGGATCATGGAACAAACAAAGAAACATAAAGACATAGCAAAGCTACTATCACATCAACACTACAGCAGAACAACAACAAAGAGGGAGGCAGTACGCAGAAAAAAGAACAGCATGAATATTTACTAACATGTTCAATAGATGACCATAGAATTTTTTGACTTAATCAGAAAATGTGTAAAGAAATATAGTTTGCAGAGGAGGCAAAAGATAATGGCACTGTAAGAGAATAAGATAGAGAATAAGAAGAGAAACACAGAGGAAAACAAGGAGTGGAAAGCAACAAAATAGAAAACCCTGATGTGGTTGAAAGTACATGAATTAATTGATTGTTCTAACCTTTTATGTTTCTGTTTCTGCATTTGGCAGACGCTTTTATCCAAAGCGACTTACAGAGTAGACACAATATTTATCTTAATTCATATAGTCAAAAACAAATCTTACTTTTTTATGTAATGTATTTGGTTGATGGAAACACAATTTTATGAGTTAAATCGACAACAAGTGTATGATTATTAACTTCAGGCCTTTTAGTAGTAATACAAGACAAAGACAGGTTTGAGAGTTAAGAACTTACAGAACTGAGATATGGGAGCATCAAGTTGTGGTGCTTTAATCCCCCGGGAGTTGAGCTTCTGGACCTGGGTAGGAGGCACTGGCTTGTGTGACTGTCCAGTGGCCCTGTACATAGCCTGAACCCATAAGATACGGTCTTGTTCATCGTCACTGGCAAAGATCACAGTGTCCCCCTCTTTTACAGCGTTGAAGAATGTCCGACCACCATCTAACCCTGAAGTAGGGATATGAGAAGTCTTAAGAAATAAGCGGGTGATGTTAATGAAATCAGACTGTGCATACACTCTTATCACAACACTGGTAAAAATAACAAGAATTGACATCAAGCAGTTTCCTAAAAAGGTAGCCAGAGGCGTTTGTTAATAGCAAACAGTCATGCAAAGCAAGGTCCTATTTTGTTTAATCTCATACAACACTAAGTCTCTACCAAAAACCCAGCGGAAAATCCTCACATGAATTAAAAGACAGTATGAAGTCTGACTGTTGATCAGTATAAAGGAATAAATGACAAAGATGAAAACCTGGAGGTCCTTATGTTGTATTTTCAGGTATAACAACCTCTAATAAAAGTTTTACTATTAATAAAGAAAATAATTCCTATGTTTGCCTACGTTTTCGATACACATCATAAACTTGGCAACTTAGGGGCATGTTAACGCATTCTTTGCAATAGTAAACCTGTTTAGATCATTTCCAAATGGTGTAAAGATAAGAGAGAGGTTGATTGATTGAGTGTACAAAAAAAATGTAGAAAAGAATGGTGAATGGTCAGCAATCAAAGCAACCTGTAGAATTAACAAGAAAAAAAACAGCACTTTATAAATGTAATGAGTCTCTGAATTATTGTTTTTTTCCATGTGTCCATTTTGTGCATCCACATTGTGACTGTTAGTTTTGTCTCCCCCTTGTGTGTGCAGCTTTGTGAATGTGTTCAGTGGTTTAGGCATTGTCTTACTATTCTTACTTACCAGCACTGTAAGTAAATCACTTGAAGTATATCTATTAGAAATCATACAACCAACCCAATTCTTTGGACATGCTCATCTTATTGTCAATAAGAACTGACAGTCACAGAGAGTTCTTCTCAGTGAAATGATAAAAGACTTATTCAACTGATGTGTTGTATGATTTGTCTTGTGTGTATATTGAATAAATTCACTGTTACTGAACAGACTGTTCATGTCAATCAAGTGCTTAAGAAACCTTTTGAGAATAATCTGTTGTCAGATGTATGAATTTCAAATGTAATTAATAATTGTTTAAAAAGACATCTTCATAAACAGACAGAGGAAGATGGTTCTATAAAAGCTGAAAGCAGTGGTTGAATAGTGTACACGCATTTATGTTCAATAGTTATATTGACGCAAAACGAATTACTATTGCTGGTTCATTAGAAATCCCTGTTGCATTAGTTCAACTCCATCTACAGTGACATTGTGGAGGGGAAACCAAGATTAAATAAGACTGATGCAGGTAACCATCTGTTGGCTGTCTCTCAAAGTCTGGTTCTCCTTTTAACATATATAAATGACAATTGACTCATATTGGACCTTCTGAAATCATCAATAACGTCAACCCTTCTGCTGTGAATCTCGGGTTTCTGCTTTGCATGAGGGTGGACCGCACTTTCCATGTGTTCCAATTAAAACCCAGTCCAATCACACCCACATTAGTAAAACGAGTGGGTTGCCCAGAAGATCCTCTTAAAAGAAGGACCACTGTCACAAGCCTCTGCATTTTGATCATGGTATTTTCTTCTGTGTCCACATATCCTGTCTTCTCCCCCAGCATACATGTATGGCCGGGTGCATGTTTAAGCAATAGTTGAGAGCATTTTATGAAAGGACCTGCTATTTTTTGCACTTTGCGCAGGCCCTGACGGCCCACCACTGCAATACATGTATATGTGATTTGGCTGGACTTACCTGGCTGAGGGTCAGTGTAATCCACTGTGTATCCATCCAGCTGAAGAAGATCCACGGGTTCAGTCTTCTTCTCTCTGTAGCTGCACATTGCAAAGGTATACTGACTCACCTGTATCAATAACAGAAAGAAGGATGGTTATTTTAACAGTAAGCTCAGAGCAGAATGAAAAAGTAATATATTAAAGGAGTCATATTATACCCTATTTCAAAAAGTTAACATAGTTCCCTGGTGTCCTAATGTGATGTCTGTGACAAGTTTTGGTCAGAATCCCATAAGGATGAAGCCCAATAGCAGTTCAGTCCCCCTGCCTAACCCTAACCCTAACCCTAACCCAAAACAGCCCCTTTCAGAGCGCTCGCTTTGGAGTGCCTGTCTCTTTAAATGCAAATGAGACACAGGCAATCCGCCCACTTCTTCAGGGAGGTGTGCCCACGTCGGCACGCTAACGCTACCATGCTAACGCTACCACGCTAACGCTACCACGCTAACGCTACCACGCTAACGCTACCACGTTAACGCTACCACGCTAACGCTACCACGCTAACGCTACCACGCTAACGCTACCAGGACGTCTCCACAGATAGGGGAGTAAGCTGAGGGGGGGGCAACATGCAGGTGAAAGGCTGGAATATTATAATGAGCTAGATAATATATAATAATATTAATATAATAATAATAATAATATTATAATGAGCTAGAGCTAATGACGTCAGAAACTACCCACTCCTGAAACCTCCTGATTTATCTCCTGGATTCAGACTGAGGCGGCCCACAAAAACATGACCCAGTTATTTTTTTCACACTTTTCCTGCTGATAGGCCCTCCACAGTCCCAAATGTACACAATCACATGATTAAAAACTTGGTTTTGCATAATATGTCCCCTTTGACTACAAACCGTTACTTTCTTTTAGGAAAGGTTAAAGTATCACTAAGGGACTGTTCGGTTCCTTTTTTAACATAATCTCTAGAATAATGTTGTATATTCCACACTTCCAAAGAGTAATATACATTTATTCCATTTGTAAGTCTAAGATAAATACAAAATACACAAATGAAATGGTTTCACACATCCCTGGTGCTTCAGATGTGTGCTGACGGATAGTGATGAAACAACCTCAGCTTCAGGGTCACCTCACTGATTTTTGTTTATAAAACTTTAGCCAAAGAGGCATAGCAAACAAATGCCATCCTTTTTCTGACAGTGCTGTAAAAAAAAATGAAATATCACATCCTGATCCAAGATTGCCATTTCTTTGGGGGAGTGGAGGAAGGAAAAAACAAGACAATATTCTTGAAGTCATGTTCTGAAAAATACTTGTGAACAAGATACCCAGATACATATATTAGCTATCAGGCTCAGCCAGAGACCCATCTACAACTGGACCAAGCATATCACCTGTTTCCAGTTTCTGGTCCAGGGTGGATAAGATGGCTGTTGGCCAAGACAGCATCACAGACTGCTGCTTTGCTTTAGTCTGTGCAGTCTGTGCCTTTGCTTCTTCATTTCATAGATAAATCTCTGGAAAACAACACCGCACTTCTAATTCTTCTTATGCAGTCTGAGGAGCACCACAAGATATTCTGTCTTGTTTAGAGAGGTATCTTTCATTCTCTTTGGTTCGTACAATCTATGACGAATTTTAAGTTTTGTGTGTCTGTTGTTTTCGCGTTTCCTGTGGTACAGGGCAGTGGTGGCTGGCTGCTCCTGATTGGGCCTGACTACTTCACCTGTGACTCGTCCTGTTGGTTTTGGTATTTAAGCTCCACTTGGTCAAGTGGTCAACACCAGATATTGTTCACCTACAGTTGGCACTTAGTTGTTGTGCACATTTTGTCCCCTTTGTAAATAATAACACAACCTTTTACTAACTTTTGCACATACATCTTATTCTATTATGCGTATTTGACGCCTACACATTAACAGCTGATCCTGGGTGTAACTAAGGACTAATGTGCATTAACACTCACACAAACAGGAGTAACAGCTACAAAGCCCAGGAAACTTAATGAAAGTCCCTCCTGCGATGCTTTTCAATTGTTAGTTTACGGAAAGGTATCTGGATATATTTTTAACCTGTTTCATTAGGGAATATGTTTCTGGAAATCCCTGTGAACGATAGAAACATGGCTATTACAACGTTACAGCATTGTCCAATTGGCCTTTTTCACCATCCAAATAATTATTTTAATTCTGTTGGAAACAATTATATTCTTGGTGAGAATAAGAATCCAACAGAAACTATATTTTCAGGCTTTGATTGGCTGTTAATTGAGAGATTAATTTGAAAGTGTGCAAAGATGAGGCATATCAGATGTAAACAGGTGTTAAAGCTTGATATGAATTTGGTATTTCAGCGCAAGTTAATGCAGACTTGTGAGAGTTGGACTGATATACTGGCAGAATTCTGTGAGTGTGAGGACAGCACAGCTCTGAGTTATGAGGGACTGTGGGTTTCTTTCTGTTATTCTTTTCTCCTAAAAATTCTCATAGTATTTGCATCACCTCTATTTTTTTGTTCTTTGGTCTCTTTTTTATCTTAAGACTTTTTTTTAAATTAAATTGTTGATGAAGAAAGAGTCAGATCTTTTTCAGGTTAGTATTGTACACATGACTGAGAGACACAGTGTGTTACTTGAATAGTGAGAAATATCAAATGTGTGAAGATGTTCTTACAGGGTAACATGGTGGAGGCGACAGGTTGGCACCTGTGGATGAAGTTAGTGCAGATTTTTTTAAGAACTTGGCTTTGCTATACACATGAGGTGACAAATGTGGGAATGCAATACAACGTATTTGTTTTTTGAATAATCAGCAATATTTTGAACATACTATCCGTCTGTGTAGGCATAATACTTCCTTCTCTACTCTGTCTGCACATTTTCTTGCTTAGCTGTAGTTTATGCATTGCCTTGCTTCAATCACATATTCACCTATTCTGTGTTATTGCCAGCCAAATCATTTAATCATTCACTTCGAACCAGTTCACTAGCAAGTTGATAGTAGTGAAATATAAAGTGTATCTGGAAGCAGGGCTGAAGTCACTGACACAATCATAAATCAAATACATCTCACACGCCAAGCAGTTATAATTCAATAATATGATCAATACTCGAGACTTAATAGAAAATGTAATTAAATTAAATACAGAAAACACTGTCCTAACTCTCTCAGTCAGTCAGTTAATCTAATTGTCCATCTGCCAGCCTGTCATCAGTCCTATTGGTTATATAGGTTCACACATAACTGTCTGTTTTTGGTTTGAATTATATTGACGGAACAGTTCCCTAAAGATCTCGAACGATGCACAGTCCTGTTTCCAAAATGTAGCAAGTTAACTGAGGGATACCCTAGGACAACTTTACCGCTACATGCAATTTGCTTCCTGGCTCCCTTTGTTCCAGGTGGTTTATACCAACACAAATCTTTACTATCACATCACTATACTGCCACAATATATCTAACAAATAGGCACAATTTCTCATGATCTCTACACCAATAGCTCTTGGATGGGGGTGTTCAATGTTGCCCGATCTACTAGACTAGTGATCTAGTTGTATAAGATATAGTAAAAACGTTTTCATTTAGCCTTATTTCTTTGACTTTACCCAATCCCTTAACTGGAGACGTCTAAAAAAAGGAGACACAAAGAATGTTTCCATGACAACGGTGGTCAGGACAGAGAGGTGAAAAGGTTAGATACACTTTCAATCCTCCGCAATTAAAGCTTTCACTGTAGCCCATACTGTCGCTGCTCTGACTACTTTGAAGGTCCCTTTGAATAGGTAAGTACAATATGTACAATTAAAAAGTGATGCAGGAAAAAATCATATGTTGTGGTGTTCTTAGGTGTCTGTGTCTTTAGTGTTTGTAGAAGTGGGTGGTGGGCTGAGATGTTCTTATTCAAGAGGGTTGTGGCCTAGGGGGAAATGTTGCCAGGTGGTTTTGGTTATGATGGACCTGAACTTCGACCTAATGGGATGGGTGTGAACAGGGAGTGAGCCGGGTGAGATGGGTCCCCCACTATCCACCTAGCCCTCTGCCAGGATCTTTCACTGTGCAGAACACACACGTGTTCCTGTTCGAGGCCTGTGAGGCGGATCGCTGTGCCCACTATGCACTATTCACTAGAACATCAAAAGGGATTGTTGTCACTGACCTTGGACCCGGTTGGACCTCTCATATTTGACTCCATAAATTTTGCCCATGAGCATAAATCATTTCAGTGAGACGAGAGAAATACATTGATTGTAAGGAAATATGCAACGAATGCCCTAAAGGATAAGGCACTAGCCTCCTAAACCAAGGATTGGGGGTTCAAGTCCCATCTAAGGTGTTTGCCCTTGAGGTGTTTGCTAAAGTGAGCTTTGTCCATTAACCAAAAGGTTACTTGATTTTTCCTGAAGGAGTCATCCGAAGGGATGACTAAACTTTAAGTCTCTATTTGCTTTTTCATTCAATTTCATAAGGAGTTTCACCAGAAGTCTAATGTAAATGTAATATCATTCCAATGCTGTGGCGTCCGTGGATGGGATAGCATCACATTTCAGGGCTAGTGTGAAGCATCAGCCAGGTAACAGTAGCCAGGACCCCCACTTCACAGTAAATATAGATTTTTAAGAGTAATATATTTTGGAACTTTGCGATGTAGCTAACTCTACAGAAAAGATCAATCAAACAGGCCCAGGGGTAACAAGTTGCACACAGAAATGCAACTTCTTCCCAGTTTAAAGTTTCAGATGACCACCTTCCCAGGACACAGCCTTACTTTTTGACTTTAATTACACAAGACACCACTGCAGTCGCAAAAAAAACATTATCTAATACAGAAAGCTAAAAATAATGATTCTAACATCAAGCAAAATGTTGCCAAGAATTAACCTGCATTTGACCTTAAATGAACTTTCTGCCATGCTTATTTCAAGTAGAGCAAGAATAATATTTCATATAGTAAATACAAATGATATGACTGCAGTTATTTATTCAGAAGTTTTAATATAAAACAAAACCTCTGAGTAAATAACAAAAATTGTATACAGGTAAGCATAAGCTGACCAAATGATGGCTTACAGAGATCACAACATCTA